GAGATATAACGGTSGGTGACCAGCCGGAGTTAACGGCGTCACGGAGAGTGTTGTAAATAGCCATGTCTTGTGAATCGTTAACACTTAACGGCAAATCGCTGCTCCAGTTATCGTTTAAGATAACGTTGCTGAAACTCGGGTTTCGGTTATAAACCGGTGAGTTAACGTTAGCGTTAACGGCGTTATCGACGGAATCAGTGCCTGAGCTTATTAGTGAGTCGTTGTAATAATCAAAACCTGACATTGATGATATTATAAATGTGATTATGTAAAATATTTAATGGATTTTGAATCGAAGAGAAGGTTTTTTAGAGAGTGGATTAAGAGAGTGAAAAATCTGTTTTCCGGTTTATAACAGTTATGATTAATTGTTTTTGGATATTGAATTGAAGTGGAAAATGAGATTTATAAAGGTACTGGAATATGAGAAGGTCCATGGAAAGTTCCTTTGTGTTGGAAACGACGTCGTAGCTTGAGGATAATGTTACATCTGAGAAGATTCCTTTTTCTTTCTTTTTTGTCCATCGTTTTTTAAATAGAACGCGACAAATTTTATTTATTATTTATTTTGAACTTTGGGTCTTTGGTTTTTTTGGTCTTTCTTTTTCAATACTTGTTTTTTCTTTTTTTGGTATTCAATCCATCATTTTTTTAAGGATTGGTTGGGCAAATTATCCGTTAAATTTGATCCGATTCGGTATTCGTTTCGATCCGATCTAAAAAATTCGAATATCTATTTTGAATCAAAGCGAAGCAAATAGTAAAATTTAGTATCCATCTAAACCGAAACAAATCACAAATACTAATTTTAAAAATTCGAATATCCGATATGATCCGTATAGTACTGATATATACATATAATATAGTAGAATTATAACGTATATTTACATTTTTTACTTTTAAATATATTTGTCAAATATATTTATAGTAAAAATAGATAGATACTAACTTTATTTAAAATATATTTCTTAAATAAAAAAATAGAGTTTATTTTTTACCGTTTTAATCTTTCGTTTTTCATTTTTAAACAATTTATCGAATAAAGTTATACTCATTTCATATATTTACTGATTAATTAGTTTAAATCTTATATTATTGAAAAAATATTATGGTGTTTTAAAAACTTTGTTGTTTAAAACAAATATACGGAAAGCTCTGGATATCCGCAAATATTCAGAAAAAAATCCAGATATCCGTCATTCCGAATATCTGAAATTTTTCGAAACAAAATAAATCGAAAAATTAGATATTCGTCAAAAACAAATTGAATCACAAATATTGTATTTTTTTGGATATCCGATCCGCGCCCAGACCTATTGGTAGATGATATAGTTTGCATATACAAGTGTATAAGATGCATGAAAAAAAACTCATATTGATAATTTTGATCTAAATATGGACTCGTAGGATATAAAAACCAACAAATAAAAACGATTGGGGACATTGGTGAATAATCTACCGGTTTAATTTAATTGCCTATACATTTTAATCTTTGGATGTAAATCAAACAGTGGTTTACATATATAAATAATAGTTTTACCATGCATTGGTAATTAATAAATGTCAAAGACTACAACTTTTTGAATATTCAACATGAATCAAAAGATGAAAAACAAAAAAAGCTTATATATCTTTTAGAAATACTTGAAACGCGCAACAAAACGATTGAAGTCAACAAAAATTACAGAAAGAACAATATATTCGTTAAAAACAAGGTTTAACAATGATAATATTAGCAGTTTGGCACATAATACAAAGGAATAAACACAGTTCTCTCAATAAACAAAACATTAAAGATTTCTTTATCATTGTTTAAGGAATAATCTTTTCCCAATTTTAAACAAGATAAAACTAATCGGAGCAATAACACAATTTTCACGTGTAAATAAATGTTATAAAATACTATAAAGTATTACCTGGAAGGAAAAGTCGTTCCACTGTGACTGTCAAAGACACGTTTTTTTGTTAATTATTACTTTTGTTTTGCTCACTCTAATTCGCTAATTTCGTTGTACCATCTCTATACAAACAAAAGAAAAACATTTATTTTAGCAAGG